GTTAATACCTTCCTCGATGAGAAGAGACAGGTATAATTGGACAACATCCATACTGAAATATTTAGAATGAAATCCTCCAACAACGTTCTGTTCAGTGTCAAACTGAACAAGAACTGTCATAAAAAGATATAGTAGCTCAGCTTCGTATTAAGCCTTTAGCAATAGGCGATTACATTTTACTGTCTGAATTCTGTTTATATGTATATATTAATATCTTAATCATTATACTTTTTCTATAAAATAAAATCATTTATACAAAAACATAAAAATGTACTTAAAAATACTAGTAAACCAATCAGAATTTGATCTCAAGAGTCATCATGTTCTTTAATGAGTATTAACGTACACCCAGTATAACTTATATACTCGACATGAATGTTTTAATTAATTAAAACATTCAGGTAAGCATAATCAGAACAATCAAAAGCGAGTGATCCAACACGTTAATTATCAAACGAAGTGGGTCGGGCGTGGCTTAGTAGGTAACGACCCCGGATTGTGAATTCGAGGATTTATGGTTCGCGAGCATTCTGGGGCCGTAGATGCGCTGCAAGAAGCTCACTCCTACTATTTCTAGAGTAGTGCAAACGTTGTCGGTGATCACAATTTAATAGCTACCTTCTTTTTTTTCTAACCTCTCAGTTCAATATTAGGAACACATATATTTCAGACAGTCTTTCAAAACTTTACACCAACATTCTGAAAACAAAAATAAATAAAAAAATCGTCGAAGTGTTTTCAACATAACACTGGTAACGGTTCCTCATCGCTTTTATACTGGTAGCTATTTAGTACAAAGAAAGGAAAATAACACAATACAAATACCTGCTTCCTAAAGACATCTGAACAAGTTCACCCGGTTTCGTCTAAAACAATAATAAAATAAGAATGGTATAGTAAAGTTAACGAAAGGAAAATTATTTACTTTTCTTTTAACCATATAAATGGTTTTTAACAACGTCGGTAGTGTAAAAGTAATACGAGTTCCAAACATATTAGAAACAAGAACTTTCACATTTTGTTGTTTTTTTTCAGTACAGTTTTGAAGGGTCTGTAATACAAACCAGTATAAGGTATAAGAATTAAATAAAGATTTTTTTGTATCTCTTTATAAATAAACCTTTCAAGACATCGTTTGCATTTGCAGTTTTTTTGTCATTCTGATATATTTTCAGATAGTTTAAGTTTGTTTGTTTGTTTTTAATTATGCACAAAGCTACACAAGGGCTATCTGTGCTCTGCCCACCACGGGTATCGAAACCCGGTTTCTAGCGTTGTAAGTCCGCAGACATACCGCTGTGCCACTGGGGTGCGATGTTTAAGTAAATATGATCCATACTGTATTCTCCATATGGCTCAACGGTAAGTGTAAGGGCTTATATGGCTAAAGATTGGGTTTCGATACCAACGGTGAACAGAGCACATATATCCCATTGTGTAGCTTTGTGTTTAACAAACAAACAGACAAACGATGCAAAATAAGTTTTTCCGTGATATATAACTTAGGTTTTAAAATTAGAAATATGATGGCGTTAGTAAATAGTTTGTGCAGAAATCATTCGTGAAGTAAGAAGGGGTTTAACGAATCACAAGATTGGCCAGTTTTATAGAGATATTCTTAATTTTTAGTAATTTAATAATCATTTAATGTTTTTTCATTTTACAACATTACGTTATAGACGCTTCATATTTGGTTTTTCGTTAAAAAGCTGTAGCCAGCAGAAAATTCCGATAGAAATAAGTAAAGAGACCACAAGTTCGTTACATTATTTTAAACACACACACACATATACTTTTACATATTTGACATCTTTAGTTGACAATAGTGTATTAATAGTGCAACTAGATGGCGCTTTCATTTTTCTTATGTATCAATTCTCCCTCTATGAGGATGGATTAATAAAGAACAAAAATATATACCTTCGGACGTTTCGGAATCGGGCTTTAGGTCTTTGTAGACCTGAGAGGGTCAGGTTCAATCTAGACCTCTTCTTCTCTCCTGTACTGTGTTTGACATATACTGTAAAATGCAATTTAGAACTTCAAGTAAACAGGGCTAGAAGATTCATTATTTAACACAATTTATGTTTCCCTTATCAGGGCAAATGTCCATGAATGTAATGCATAGCATTTTGTGTTTCCGTTACCATTTCGCATTATTTGGTCAATGCACAAACAGTTCATTGGTAATTTCACACTTTTCGAGATTATGATATCAAGAGTGCATTTTACACAGAACCCTTTAAATACACAGGGGATAATTTAATGAGGTGATTTTTAGTTTTTTATGTAAGTAAGGAATTCATAATAGTTGTTAGGATGTGTGGCAGCTATGGTTTGGTTTGTTTTGAATTTCGCACGAGGCTACACGAGTGCTAATTGCACTAACCGTCCATAATTTAACAGATATAGACTAGACGGAAGGCAGCTAGTCAACTACACTCACCGCCAACTCTTGGGCTACTCTATTACCAACGAATAGTGGGATTGACCTTCACATTATAACACCCTTACGGCTGAAAGGGCGAGTATGTTTGATGGGACGGAGATTCGAACCCGTGATCCTTAGATTACGAGTCGAGCGCCTTATAGCAATGGAATGTTTGTAGTTTTAATAGTTTTTTTTTGTTTTCGAGCATTCGCGCAAAGCTACTCAAGAGCTAGCTAGCTAGCTGTCTACACTAACTGTCCCTAATTTTGAAACGATAGACTAGAAGAACGGCAGCTAGCTAGCTAGTCAACAGCATCTGCCGTCAACTCTTGTACTATGCTTTCTGACCGAATTAGTTTTCATTATTATAATTATTATGACGTTTATTCTGTTTAAAAATTATCAGTCAAAAACATTTTAGAGAGGCATACCCCCAAACTTTAATATGCTATAATTATATCAAACATACATATTATTTAGTGTTGGATGCACGATAGTATCTTTTACACACTTCATTCATCCGTTTCTTCTAAGACAAATGATACTAAGACTTTCACGACTAAGATGAAGAAAGAATAGTTACTAGAATAAATTATGCAGAAATCTATATAAATATATATGTAATAATTGATTACTGAAAACAATTTTTGGCGGCCATTTAAGAATCAATTTAGAAATAATGTTGCTCTCTTCTCAGTTAGACAATGTGACGATTCTCTTTAATATGAAGCAATACACAAAACGTCTTTGATTGGATTTTGCACAAGTTGGGACTGATTTTTGTCATGTTTCTTTTATGTTAGATATTTATTTTGTTTAATTGTGTTTGGATGACATACACACATTTTACACACTGTCGATGCAGAAGTCGTTGGATTGCCATATTTCACATTGTTAAAAATGTAAATGAAAATCAATAATGAGTAGAAAAATAGTTGATGTTTCTAACTGCTGATGTTAGTGTAATGTTTTGAAAAAGGAGAATAAAGCATTAAGATAAAACAAATATAAATGTCATTATTTTACGATTACAAATAGGGCCTGGCAAGGCCTGGTGATGAAGGTGCTCAACTTGTAATTTGTGGGTGGCAGCATTGAAATCCGTTGCCGAACTCGCTCGCCCTTTCAGTCGGGATGCATTATAATGTGACGATCAATTCCATTATTTGTTGATAAAGAGTAGTCCAAGAGTTGGCGGTGGGTGGTGTTGACTAGTTGTCGTTCTCTTGTTCAAACATTTCAAAATTAGGGACAGCTAACGCAGATAACTCTCGAGTGGCTTTGCACGAAACCAAACATACAATTAAAAATAGTTCATAACTTAAATTTGTAACAATAATAATGACTCACCTATTTTTTTATCAAGAAAGTATTTAAAAAATTAGGTATGAAACATGCCCACAAGTCATTTAAAGACTTTTTGTTTTATTTTCTATGCTTATTGTAATCAGAACAACTTTAACTTAAAGGCACTCAATTTGAATTCTGCATTCTATACTTAATCCATTTCATGAATCGGTAGGAAAAAAATATACTTACTTAAGTGTAATGAATTCCGACAAAGAGGTTTTAGTAATAAAATTTTATTTACAGGTAAGACTTTTATTTACTTATGAAACTGGATACCATTCCCATAAATTAGGGAATGTAAATTTCATTTTGTGAATAAACAAAATTTCTTGTGATCGTCAGATGTACACGAGAGGCTTCTGTTGCCAGTTGCATTGCTTACTATAAGTTTGTTAGTTTTCTGTTGCTACTTGCATTGGTTTTCTGTTACCAGTTGCGTTGCGCACTATTGTTGCATTGGTTTTCTGTTTGCAGTTGAGTTGGTTATTCCTGAAGTGTTGGTCTACGTTATCAGACGAGTGACTCAAAAATTAGTTAACTATATTTATCCTTCTTAAAACTTTATAAAAAGTTTTTTTTATAAAGTTATTGTAACATAGTTATTGTTGCTGTATTTTTTGTTACTAACCCAGTGGTACAGTGGTAGAACCGGGTTTCGATACCCATGGTGGGGAGAGCACAGATAGCCTATTGTGTAGCTTGTGCTTAACTACAAACAAAAGAAAATCTTACTAACCTACTTAAATTACATAATGTTTGATGTATTTAAAATGTTAAGTAGTATCTAGCTAGATTGATATTTTTCAATATATGTATATATATATCTAGCTCTGATAAGTATTGGTTCAATAATAGAGTTCTGGATTTTAAAGCTGATGAGCCGGTTTCGAGTCCGAACAATACTACAAAATATTCCCTGAACTTTAAGCTGTGGATCAGTTATAAGAATAACACTCAATCCCTTAGCGTATATATCGGTTGTAAAATGCTATTGACTAGCTGCCTAATCAGTATATCGAAATTAGGGATAGTATTTGCTTGAAGTTAAGCACAAAGCTACAAAATGGGCTATCTATGCTCTGCCTATCACGGGTATCGAAACCTGGTTTCTAGCGTTCTACGTTCGCAAACATACCGCTGTGCCACAGGGGGGCTAGGGATAGGAGCAGATAGTTTTGTATGAATATAAGTTCAAAAGAAATAAACGATTAGAAACGCATACAATATATACGTTTATACATTTTTCTTGCTATCAGACATTAGTTTTTCTTTAGGTTTCTATACATATTTTATAAATCTCAAAATAAAGTTTTAAGGAATGAAAAAAGGAAATTTCGTTAAACAAAGTTAGGAAACGAACTAAGAATTACCTCGAAAAATGATAGGCAACACAAAGGCAAAACACTTTATAATAAGCTTAACGAAGTAACAGAATCAAAGTAATTGATCTCGTTGCATGTTTTGAAAAAAATATCGTTATCTACCTACAGAAATTACTTTGGTGCAAATGAGATATTTATATAATTCACGTTACATTAAGAGAATGGCTGTAACTTACAGGAAAAAATCTAACTTTGTTGACCAGTTGTTCTGTTCATCGAGAATGAATGTGTAGACAAAATAGCTTTAATGTTTGTGAGTTTCCTATCTATGAAATTATATATATATATATATATACAATATTATTACAAATTGACCACCAAATGATCATTAGCGTATTGCTTATTATATGTCTTAAATGTATATGAGAAAACATATTTTAAGCTTAAATTACATATTAAAAAAACAACACACATCTATTACTTACGCATCTCCATTATGAGAGGCCTAACTATTTTGTTTTGCTGACCCTAGCTATTCTGATGAGCCTTAACTAGGTGAAAATGCAGTCCATAGCGGAGGGTATTGCACGTTACAAACCGCATTTTCAATTTTCATTTGGTGAAATGAAATATGCAATATATATATATACCTACATGTTTTGCGATTTTTCTCATTATAAAATTTATACAATAACGTATTATATTATTTTCTTTTTTCTAAATACATTCGTAACATATAATGCTAATACCATTACAAAGTTAGTTTAATTATTTTTATCGAAGCATCTTGTGCTGCCATGCAACTGCACTATCTTTCCACAAATTGAATGTGAGTATCACTGCAATATTAGTCTAAAATTTTTTCTAACCGTCCTCTATTGCCATCCAGTTGCACCATCTCCCCAGACTTGAAAATGCTTGTAGCTCCATGAAGCCCTATTACACAGGGAAGTCCATATTCACGTGCCACAACAGCTCCATGTGAAATAAGACCTCCCAATTCTGTAGCAACGCCAGACAAAAGAGGAAAATATGGGCTCCATCCAATATCTGTGCCATAAGTTACCAAAATGTCTCCAGGTTGTATCTCGTCAGCTTTATCAATGGAGGTCACTACTCTAACTGGACCTCTGGCAATTCCTTGGCTTACTGGAGTACCTGTTACGTAAAAATATGAGGAGGTGCTATCGTGTTGCTCCGTTTTAGGTATTGGTTTAATTATTCCCTGGGTTATCTCCGAGAAGCAAAGTGAATTTAACAGAGGATCCACCTTTTGTCGACGAATAGCCTTAGAAATTAATCGTGGTGAACGTAGATGAAGAAGTTGTCCGATTTCTTGATGTGTTAAGAAGAACAAGAGGCGAGCATCAGGTAGTCTTCCTTCTTTCATCATTAATGTACCTAAATGGCAGTAGGCTCTACGAATGACATCCAATGTTTTAACCAAAAGAGATTTGGAACGTTCTCTCACTTGAACACCATTTCTTACACGGGGAAGCAAAAATTTTAGGACATACTTCTGCCACCAAGACAAGGACACTTGAAGGTTTAATAATGCTTTTACAGAACTGACTTCTTCCCTGCATTTGTCTTTTTGATTAATGTTTCTCATCAAACACTGAAGTGTCTGAACAACAGAGGTTGAATTAGATCTCCAAGGAATCGAGTTTATATCAAGTTCTTTTAAACAACGATGTCCATGCTTACGAACAAATTCTCGGAAAGATTTTCCAGCAGCTGTTTGTCTTATACGTAACAATCTCGTTGCAGACTCTGGTGTCATATCAATAAACATCTTGTTGTCAACTTCCTTACTAATTTCCAGCGCCAATTTCCTAAGATCATTGGGGATATCAGCACTCTCCACGTTGGTGCAAGTTGATAAGAGGTAACCAAAATCTGAAAAAACCTTAACATTCCACTCTTTCTCTGCTGACACCAATAAATTTAAAAGGAATGCATTCCATAATTGAGAATTTGAAGTGCAACACATATGACATACAAGTGACTCGTGAGTTGTACTAAGAAGATACTTTTCAATCGTTTTATACATTTCCAAAGAATCTTTGAAATTCACTGGAAGATCATAGCTAGAGTATCGTTTCTCTGTGTTTTGCAAAACTTGGTTTGCCTGAAGTAAAGATTTACAAATGAAACAAATGCATCGTAAAACAAACGACAGTGACATTTTAAACATGCTTAATCGATCCTTGCTTCGTTCTGCCATTTCTCTGTTTCTAATTGGTCGCCCAAAGAAAGAGACTTGATATCCTGTGGCCATATTTCCTTCATTCGTAAAATATGGGTTATCTAGCATGCTAAAAAATGCATGATTAAATCTGCAACAAATTGTTTTGGATAAGTAAGGGTATAAGAGTTCTGGCGGATACATTTTTATTCTCTTGAAGGACATCTCAAAGATGTACATTAGTGTAAACATTCCCAATGGGCTTATAGCTCCAGGTATGACCTCTCCAATATTAGCTTTGGTAAAAAATTCATGTTCACTACGTAGAGGTGAGTCATTCTCATGAATAATTTCGAACTCCGTCTCTGTTTCAGTTGATGTAATGGATCTGGCCTGAAGTAAATATATATTTTCTTTCACCATTGCCCATTCAATGTCTCTAAGACTGGCAAAACATTTTTCAACCAAAACTCCAACATGGCCAAGATATATTGCAGAAGATTCACTTAAACAGCTTTGTGAGGAATTTGTTGCTGATACCATATCCTTTATTTCGCCATCTGCTTCTACCACAGTACACAAGTTTTTCTTACCAATACTGACTGACCGATATGATATTTTATTGTTATAATCGCGATCTAATAATATGGTATCAGGTTCGGCAGTACCAGATACAACAGTTTCACCAAGTCCATAGTTAGCTGTAATAGTGATGACTGCTGGGTTAGAGGTCACTGGGTCACACGTAAACATGACCCCAGCAACATCAGCTGGAATCATTTGCTGGATGACCACAGCCATGGGAGAGTTTAATAGCTGACCGTTGCGCCTTTTATATTCAATAGCCAAGTAAGAAAACTGTGATGCCCAACATTTAGTCACACCTTCATAGATTTGGCTTAATCCTTTAATCCCCAGGAATGTATCATTCTGTCCAGCCGCCGACATGTCATCCGAATCTTCTCCTGAAGCTGAAGATCTAACAGCAAATGTGAGTGTGTCTAGTTTATCTCCAAATTTTGACTGAAGACTTTTGTGTAATAATCGGCAAATTGTTTCTGGGAGTTTAACTCTACTAATCATTGTCACAGTCTGTTGACAAAATTCCTTGAGATTCCCTGCAATATGACCCCAAGCAATCTCTTCCAAAGAAGTTAATACCTCTTGTAGTTGTCCTTTCTTAATGAATTCTTGATAGGCTACAGTAGTAACAACCACTCCCGGGGGAACATGAAATAAATGTGTTCGTTTAGAGATAGTGGTTAACTTAGCAAGAGAAGAACCTTTGCCTCCAGTTAGAGCTGTTATATAACATTGTGGTTGGTCAATTTCGACAACCATTGGTCTCATGATGACTTGATGATGGTCAGACAAAATATTTGACATGTTAGCACAAGGTATGGGTTGAACGTCTTTAGATTTGTATTGGAACACAGAGATTCCACAACCAATGTCTTCATTAAGACTAATAATAGAGTATTTGAATAATTTATATATATTGGTACTTACAAAGTCACATATGTGTTCTTTCAGGTCAACCACACACTTAAAGGTCTTCCCACCTGCTACAAACGAAAACTTTACGAAGCGAGGTATCTGTTTGTTTTCACCCATTAGGGCAAGTTGAAAGTTACAAGACCTGATAGGCATCATTACAGCGTTAGAATGGATGTAATGGCCGTAGACAAGATGGGAGACAATTCCTGGTAAGGATACGGCACTAACGTGGAAAAGACCGCCTTTCTTGAGAAAGCCAAAAAAGTCAACACTTCGATGAAACGGAACAGACTGGCCCAAATTTCGTATTCGGGTTCCCCACAAAATAAACTCTTTTTCCTGTCCTTCAACAGAAACAGTTCCTTGTAGTTGACCTCCCTGTTCGTAATTATTTAAAGCTTTATTTAACCTATTAGTGTCTGGCAGATATTTATCCCATGGTTCTTTTGCTAATGCTTCAGCCAGACTATCTTGGTTTATATCACAGATCATATCTTGGACATCAGACATAGCTTGCCATATAAAACTGAATTTGACATGAACTACTCTGTTATCTGTTGAATCACTACGAATCTCTCTCAAAAAACCGTTGAATAAAATTCGCCATTTCCTCATAGCACTAACACATTTTATTTTTAAACCTCCTCCACTAAAGTAATCACAATCTCCAGCTAGGCTATGACATACTGGACCATTGGGAAAAGTGTAGTGATTGCCAACATCCGTCCTCAAAAACATCATAACTTCTACAACGTTGCTGTGTAGTCTGGATGCTTTGACTACTAGACACTCGCCTGTTGACTTGACACCATAAAAGAAGATTTCGTCTACTTTTTTAAGTAAATGTTTAGATGGTTGAGGGTTTTCCAAAGCGATCTCTTTTGGTGGTGGAATAAATCCATTTTTCTCCATGTCTGTAAGACTATTCATGTCGTACAAGTCAAACCTTTTCCGCTGTGCCCATATTTGAATCTTCAGATATAGAAGGCTAACAATTTTTTTAATGTAGAAAAAACGATTTGGTAAATTATATACTCCATGTATAGGCTTCAAATCTTCTGTAGTTAGTATATGGTAGAATACAAATCCTATGGGAATTGCAAGAACAGCCCCCATCTTGTCTTGTAAACTTACAAAATAACTCTAGTTTTACAACAGTACATTAAAGTAGATATTCGCACTTGCATGTACTACAAACCATTTTCTAGTAGAATATAAAAGGTCTGTCACAATGTACTCTACTCTGCAGCGTTGAGATACATGTTAACGTTAACCTTCATTCTCTATAAGTCACATGACTTAATCGTGGGCAGGAAGGCCTATCTGCTGCTAACATGTTTTGATTAGACTTTCCTGTCATTTATGGATGTTGATAACTGACATGTTGGTGACGGAATTTCTCTGAATAAGAGATAAGTTTTTATGACCTTGAGTTATTATCATATAGGCCAGTTACTACAGTACAGTTTTCGTAATATCAAAGGTTAAGAGAATCTCTTGATGTGTTTGATAGCAGTGATTTTTTTAGGCATACATCTATTACCGTTTTTGATTCGATATATATTAGTAGAAAATAAAAATATTTTTATTGGTCTATTCATACAGCACCACAAATCAAACATTTCTCAAACGACAGTTTCTACAGATACATAATTACAGCGACTTATTTTGTCAAGCAGGACTTTATTTTGATCATACTTAGTATTCCAGTATTTGCTTCGAAAGATAAGATATTTTTAGAATAGAGGTCTCATATGTGAATTAGAATAAAATACATCCAAATATGCTTGAGTGGAGAAAAAATCCAAACTTTTGTTTTAGTTTAAATAGTAAGTGATATCTTGTAAACACTACAAAGTAAAACAACTTGGCATTATTCATAGTGTATCATTTTTTCATGTGCTGTAAAACTAAATTTACATTTAGCTTAGCTCCTAATTCAACACATCAAATTTTGTTTAGTGTAAATCAATGATGCTTTCTAGGTGAATTAGAGTTTAGATGATTAAGTGTAGACTATAGATTAAAAGTCACCATCACACAATAAAGATGAATGCTTTGCATTAATTAAAATCCACGGTTTCGATTTCTGCTTCTGCCTTTCTTAAGGTGCAAGTATCTTATATATTTTAGTCTTGACAATGTGGTGTTTCCAATGTCGGAAAACTCCAAAAGCTCGAGATTCAGAGCGAGCTAAGTGTAGAGTGGCTTCGCTTCAATTATTGAAAGTGTGAAGAATATTATATCATTACATAGAAGCATAGTAAGAAAAAAATATTTTAATCAAATAAAATAATCAACACACAAAGATTCTGACACTTTCGGCTTATAGATAGGAAAACCTGGACATTTTAGAATGATTTCAAAAGAAAAAAAGCACAAAAGTTATTTTCTAACTGTGTAATTTAAATTAAAAAAATTAGATCAGCTTCACTGGTCGTACATAAATTCAACAATGTGCATGCTCAAGTTAAAGATGCTCAATTAAACAATGTTCGGTGATTAGGGTGCTCGACTCGCAATCTTAAGGTCAAGGGTTTGAGTCTTCGTCACCAAACATGCTCTCTCTTTCGGCCATGAGGGCGTTATAACGTGACGGTGAATCCCTATTCGTTGGTAAAAGAGTAGCCCAAGAGTAGGCGCTTGTTGATGTTGACTAGCTGCCTTCCCTTTATTCTATCACTGTTGAATAAGGGACGACAGATAGCCCCAAACCAACAATATTCATGCCAAAGCACATGTTCTTATGTTAAAAGCTTTTTTGTTGAGGTTTTTACAAGTTTGTAAAAGTGAAAACATACTGACACATTGTTTTCAGAGTCATTTAAGTGTAACTTTGTTTTGTAAGAGTTTACATGGGGAATGGTTTACATTAAAATTGTACATGCTGAGACCTGTCTCCTAGTGTTTCCAAGTGAGGGAGACAGCGATTGTTATCAACTTATTCTTGCCACATGGACTTGATCTGGACTATAAATGAAAGCAAACCATAGTACTACAGTATGAAAAAGTATATTAATTTTTTCAACAATTTGGATAGGATGATTGACATGTACTATTACATATTAAAATGACTACACACATATACGTACATATATATATATATATATAACTTTAGTTGATGGACAGTGATTCAAAATTTTAAATACTTTGCATGGTAACCCCACGTGCACGGATACAGGTGATTATACTTATTTAAACCTTAGCCTTAGTTTGTTGATAAACTATTTTATACTGACTATACGTTTAAAATTATTATAATGGGACACTAAGGCTTATTTCAGCCCACTTGAATCTTTCCAGGCTTTCACATTTATTTGCTTTCTTACACCAGGCTAGAACCACCTGGTAAAAGAGAGATATATGAAATTATATATTTTGAATTGCAGTTTTCTCTCTTTGAGCCTGAAAATGTTTTGTAAGACTAAAGTACTAACGCATGAAACTTTTATACAAAACACCAAAGTAAACGAAAATGTATTTTCATCATATATTTCACTCTCAAACTTTCTACCGTTTTTATGCATCGATGAATCTGTAACTATAAGTTGATGATCTTGCTCATGCAGTGTATAACATTATTACTGTTTGTTTGTAGCTGAGCACAATGGGCTATCTGTTATCTGTGCTGTGCTCAACACGAGTATTGAAACACAATTTTTAGTGTTATAAACCCACAGGCTTACAGCTGAGCCACTGGTGGGTCAGTCATTACTGTTACCATGAGAAATTTACACGCATATGTATGGCTAACAGTAGCGTTAGGTATCATAAAATCTATCTTTGATAGTTGGTCAACATAGGAATTGCTTTTAATGAAAACAAAGAAATACATACAGCTAGAAAGAAGCAAATATTAATCAGAAATCCACCTTGCGAGTCTGGCCATATAAGTTAAATGAGAAATGGCGAAATTTATAAACTTCTAAAAGTTATGCTCAAATAAGCACACATTACACTCTTCGTCTTGACAAACAAGATCTACAAGTGCCTTTATAGTCTCTTCAACAGGATTACCTGCCATAGAAATATTATGTTAAATATGACACAGTTAAACCTGATATAAACTGTGGAACCATATGTTTAATACGTGTAAGTACATATTGTTTTGGCATTACAGAACACATTAGAACTTTTATAATGTTGTTAGTCTGTAAGTGTTTTTGTAATAGCCGAGATTCTGCGGATCACACAAGTGTCTCTACAGCAGTGCTTTACTTTAGTATAATTATTATCAAAGTGCTTCTGTAATAGTCGAGATTCTGCGGATCACAGAAGTGTCTCTACAGCAGTGTTTGGTATAAAAGTGCTTCTGTAATAGTGTCTGGTCAGACAGCAGGGAATATATGATTATTTAAATAACCTATGTTCATTCTTGATGTTATTATTAATAAAAACTCTTCTTTAGTTAATACCAACCCTGATGTAGCACAATATGATAATTCTACTTTGTTCGTTTGTTTGTTTTGAATTTCGCGCAAAGCTACACGAGGGCTATCTGCGCTAGCCGTCCCTAATTTAGCAGTGTAAGACTAGAGGGAAGGCAGCTAGTCATCACCACCCACCGCCGACTCTTAAGCTACTCTTTTACCAACTAACAGTGGGATTGACCGCACATTATAACGCCCCCACGGCTGAAAGGGCGAGCATGTTTGGTGTGACGGGGATTCGAACCCGCGACTCGCAGATTGCGAGTCGAGCTCCCTAACCACCAGGTCATGCCGATGTAGCAATTTCAGATTATCCCTACTTTATCTTACTCCACGGTAACTTGAAATCGCGTTCAGATTACCGGGAGGTAGGATGAAATCGATTTGAAATTACCCTTGGGGGTAGCTTGAAGGTGATTTCAACCTAATGAATATTCACTCTTGTAATTATTGTAATTTTTTCTCCTGGATTTCTCCAATTAGGTTGAATCTTTGTATATCTTATGTTTGTATGTAATATGTCATGCACTTTGAACTAGTGTATGACTGGTTTTAATATAATTAACATTTTTGTGATATTTTTTTATTTTTTTCAGATATTGAGACTAGCTTTCAATCTTGTATGTTTCACGTGTTTTATTCAATAAACGTATCATGAGTTGTAAGTATAAAAAATTATCAGTTTAGCTAAATCAGCGAGGGGGTAATCTGAACAGTGCAGGGGTAATATGAAATCAGGTTCAGGTTACCCCGGGGGTATTATGAAATCAATTTCAGATTAACGGGAGGTAACTTGAAAGGGGGG